GGAAAGTTAACCACTTGGATAAAACAAATTAGTCGAAAGTTGGAGAAACTTAATACAAAATTGGCAAAATACACCTTATTGATGTTAAAACTAAAAATAATGTTTGCTGCTTAAATAACCTTAGATATATATATATATATATATATATATATAAAGAAATATATATATATATAAAGAAATTTTTATGTTTATACATTCTTTTTTATAGATACAAATATTTAAGTAAATGCCCTGTTTTATAATAAACAGTATTAAACAACATTTACCGGAGGATGAAAATTTCTCGGACATTCAGCCGGTAAATGTTGTTTAATACTGTTTATTATAAAACAGAGCATTTACTTGAATATTTGTATCTATAAAAAGAATGTATAAACATAAAAATCTCTTAAAATAATTGTCGGACTTTGTCCATAAGTGTGGGTTTGTAAACAGTGACTATTACGGCTATTATAGCAAGACTATTCGCTAAAGCGAATCGAGTTCTCTCAGTTACTGTGTGTTTATCTAAAAATAAATACGCTAAAATTCACCTCCGGCCCTGCTGTGCACCGACGGCTTAGTGGTAGAATCTCTGACTGACACCGATTCAGCCGGGTTTTGATCCTAGCTAGACGCAACTGGACGTCTAGCCACACTGAAGAGCTGTGATACAACAAAACACTCTGTGGATGACTATATATATATATATATATATATATATATATATATATATGTGTGTGTGTGTGTGTGTGTGTGTGTGTATTAAGATTGCCTGAGATTTTCCAGTAGCTTTTACCTTTTTTCCAGAGCTTAACAATCAGTTCTTTTTGCGAATTTGTCAATTCTTTAACTCTTGCAATGATGAAAACATTCTTGCACGAATATCAGTTACAGACTGTTCTGTTTATATTTTTTAGGCTAAAAGTAACTACTGATACCACTTGAATAATTTAGAGTATTAAAGCAATTTAAAAGTTTTAAGATTTGAAATTTGCATTCTACGAATGCTTTCTTCAATCATTAAAATGGATAAATGGGGATTTATTTCTATTAAATCAAAATCTTTTTCCGTATTCTATGCATATTTAGTTATTATGCATTTGTGTACAGTTAATTATAAGAAAAGTGTGTTTATTCATTCGTTGGAAAGACAATAAATTAAAAATTTGCATGTGTACGAATATTTGTTTCCCCCCACCACTATATATATATATGTGTGCGTGTGCGTGTATGTATGTGTGTGTGTATGTTTGTGTGTGTGTCTGTGTGTAGGGAAAAGGTTATAGTTGTTCCACCAAAAGAAAAATATATATTTCAAAAAAGAGAGACACCGCAAACGATTTTGTTTATAATGTGGATTTGTTTTAGTATATATATTTTCTCTTCATATTTCTACTACTCGGGTTGTCGGTCCCGTGACCTTCCTCAAGCAAATAAAAGGAATAAATATTTAAAATGAATAAATTTCCCTCATGTTCTTTTAATGTCACATTGTTTGTTTTCTATATTCGTTTGTGAGCCTTGAACTCTTTTCTGTACTGTTGGCAAAAGTTAATTTCTGCCTAAGTTTTAATAAAACCCTTAGGTTTGGTATGAGATGTGGTGATGATAGATGTATTGATGAGAGATGTCTTCCTATCCTTGTGTGCGTACGTGTTCCTATAGACTGCACATATGAATATTCCCTCCCCTATATACATACTGCTTTATAATAAGGAATTAGCATATGCATATATGCATATACACATCCACATATATACCCCCAACACACAAATACGCACTCATTAAAAGAACATAAGGAAAATTTATTCCTTTTAAAAATTTATTACTTTTATTTGCCTGAAGAAGATCACGAGACCGGAAACCCGTGTAGCAGAAATATGAAGAATAAAATATAAACTAAAACAAATTCACATTATAACCAAAAACGTTTGCGATTTTGCGATTGCTTTTGGCTAAGATCAGATACTGAAGGGCCGAAATGTTGTGATAAATATGGCGACAACGATGAGGACAATAGTCCGAATAATGTAAATAGTGTATATAATATCTCATCTCAGAAATATAGACAGATACTGAAGGGCCGAAATGTTGTAATAAATATGGCGACAACGATGAGGACAATAGTCCGAATAATGTAAATAGTGTACATAATACCTCATCTCAGAAATATAGGCAGATACTGAAGGATCGGCAGGGACCAGATACACCGAAAATTTGGAGACAAATTGAAAATTCCTACCAGAAACTGGCACGGATATCGAACTATCTGACATTCCTACACCGATGCAGAGATTTACAGCTCATCCCTTCAGGCTTGGAACCAAGACTTCCCGTCAATTCAAGGAGAGCTCCTCTGATCACAGAAAAAGCGGGACACGCCCTTGTCCGAGAGAGAATCCAGTACAATCGTTGGATAAAACAGAGACTACAAGCGCATATCTCTCAAAGGCTCGAGGATTTCTTCAACAGAATTACCAATGAAGAAGACCGGAGAAGGATTCAAAATAACCTGGATAAATCGTTCAAACATGAATTCGATGTAGTCAAGGCTCGCCAAGTACAAAATTTTGGCGACAAAGATAAGGACAATAGTCCGAATAATGTAAATAGTGAAATGATTAAATATATATCTGTCTATATTTCTGAGATGAGGTTATTTGCATTATTTACATTGTTCGGACTGTTGTGCTCATCTCTGTTGCCATATTCACGACGTTACGGCGGCTGTATTCTCCAAACTTCTTCAGGAACTGTCTATATTTCTGAGATTAGGTATTGTAATTATTTGCATTATTTAAATTGTTCGGGCTGTTGTCATCATCTTTATTGCTATGTTCACAACGATTCGGCCGTTGTACGCTCCGGCCTTCTTCAGGTGTTTGAAATTTCGAACTGAAACCTTTATTTCGTCCACCGGCGTAGATTGTTCTAGTTCCACGAGCCATGTCTCTTCCGGATGCATCAATTATCTCCCTTTAACTCTCCAAGTTTCTGTTTACCACTGACTTAGGCAGGTATTGAACTCACAAGTCACGGATTATCCACTGGGCCATCAGTGTATGAATCTTGTGGAATTAATGTTTCAATATATATACATATATATATATATATATATATATTTACCAGAGCTCATATCGCAATTTTGTTGTTATTAGTGCTTTTCTCTAGAACTCCGTATTACTGGTTCCCATATTGTATTTATTTCTATGCTTGGCCTACTTAGGAGTTTTTTTTTTACCTCAATTTCAACTCCCACCACCCATACAGTGTAAAGGAAGGGATCGTTCACTGTCTACAACATCGAGCAAAAGCCATAAGTGTCGACCTAGAGACAAATGATCAAGAAATGGTCAGAATAAACAGTACCCTACAACGTCACAAATAACCTGGGTACATGGCAGCATCTATGACAAACTGGAGTAGAAGGACACAAGAGGATAACAACAACATTCAGAAAACAGCTTCAGTCTACCTACCTTATGTGAAGTAATTATCGGGAAAAAATACAAAAGATCTGTGGTCCATATAACATCAGGACGATCAGACTGCAGGGACATTGTAAAGCTGTAACAAGATTGAAAAAAAAAAAACAGACCTAGCTGGCCACATGTGGAGGGAAAAGGGAGATTACCAACCTCTGTCGGATGAAGTTGAAATAATAATACGAAAACTTAAGGAATCAGCACATATGTTAGACCACAAAGGCAGACAAATGTAACCTAATAAAAACTGTTGACAATGCTTCATCTTATAAAAATTCAAGATAATATTACGACAAACTTTGCTAGATGAAAAACAATTGAAATTAAGATGAAAGGAATACTAGTCAAAAGTGAATAATGGCTGACAATACTTCATCTTATAAAAATTCAAGATAATATTACGAAAAGCTTTGATAAATGAAAAACAATGGAAATTAAGATGAAAGGAATACTAATCAAAAGTGAATAATGGCTGACAATACTTCATATAAAAATTCAAGATAATATTACTACCAACTTTGATAAATGAAAAACAATGGAAATTAAGATGAAAGAAAAACTAGTCAAAAAGGAATAATGGCTGACAATGCTTTATCTTATAAAAATTCGAGATAATATTACTACAAATATTACGAGATGAAAACAATGGAAATTACGATGAAAGGATTACTAGTCAAAAGTGAATAATGGCCGATAATGCTTCATCTTATAAAAATTCAAGATAATATTACTAAAAACTTTGATAAATGAAAAACAATGGAAATTAAGATGAAAGAAATACTAGTCAAAAGTGAATAATGACAATGCTTCATCTTATAAAAATTCAAGATAATATTACTACTAACACTACTAGAGAAAAAGTAATCAAATTTTAAATGTAAGAAATACGAATCAAAAAGTAATAATAATTTCAAGTCATTTAGTACATCCAGACGAAATATAAAGACATGAAGATTACATTGAGCTGAGATAATGATCGATTTTTCATTCAAAGATTTTTATTCAAATACCATAACTTACGGTATGAAGTGTCCTCGATTCTACTCAGAGAAGGGAATTTGAAATCGTCTTTTGTGTATTGAAGTTAATCATTATAATTAAGAAACTATCGCGTTGATTAGAATCTCAATTTTTATTTTAAATAATCGTTTACAGTGTCCTCGAAAATAAAATAAAAATCTTCAAGACACCCGGATGTTTAATGCATCAATTAGAACATTTTATTAACACAAACCTGGCGTCATTCAAACTGTGAATTAAATAAATCTATATGAAGAATTCTCTATCTATATGACTATCCCGAACAAGCAAAAAAGAGTTTGGTACGAACTGGGAAGCAAATATCCCTTGGTAATTTTTTTTTCTTCCAAGAAGATTGGAAATCTTTTAGAGACATTCAGGATTTTATTTTTTTTTTTATGGTAGACGATGAAGAGTCAAAATTAGAACGACTGTAATTAAAATGTACTCATTTTGTTGATTGACTTTTTTAATTGATGAGCAACCAGTGATTTGTAGAATTGCAAAGGGAAC